TAGTGTCCCCGGGAGCCCGAGGGCATCCCCGCCCTCCTGGGTCCTGCTCCACCTCCCTGCGGGCCCCTTTCCGCCCGGGAAGGTTGGTGCAGCTCCTGCTCCTCCGGGACGGGGCTCTCCTGTCCTGGGGACACTCGCCCCGGCCTCAGCCCGGCTCCTCGCGGGGCCCCTCCCCCTCGGAGGCCTTTTGTTCCTTTATTTCTTTTTCCCCGTCTTCCTACCTTGATAGAAGCGCGGACTCTTCTCACTGTAGCGTTCCAGCTGGTCTCTCTTTACATCTCAGGCCGAATTCGTAGATTTTCAGGATGATTTGAAGGTTTTCTAGGTAATTTCGTGGGGACAGGTGACTTGGGGACCCTGCTCTTCTGCCATCCTGCCCCTCCCTGTCTACATATGTTTTATAGTTTTCAGTGTACAAGTCTTTCACCTGTTGAAATTTATTCCTAAGTATTTTATTTCTTTTGTGCAACTATAAATGAGATTGTTTCTCTAATTTCCTTTCAGATTATTCATCGTCAGTACATGATAATGCAATTGATTTTCATGTCAATTTTGTGTTCTGCATCTTTAATGAATTCCTATATTATTTTTAACAGTTTTTTTTCTTAAATAGAATTTTTATGGTTTTCTGTGTATAGGATCATGTTGACTGCAAAAAGAAGACAATTTTACTTCTTCCTTTCCAATTTGGATGCTTTTATTTCTTTTTGTGGCCTAATTACTCTGGCTGGGGTTTCCAGTAGTATAATGAACAAGGATAATGAGAATGGGCTCTCGCTTTGTTCCTGATCTTAGAGGAAAAAGTTTCTCTTTTTTTCAAAATTGAGTAAAATTTTAGCTGCTGGATTTCATACACAGCCTTTATTATGCTGAGGTAATCTTGCTCTCTTCCTAGTTTTTTGAGAGTTTTTATCATGAAAATTGTTTAATTGCACCAAACACTTATTCTAGATCCTTTTAGATGATCACGCTTTTATCCTTAATTATCTTAATGTGGTATATAACAGTAATTGATTTTTATATTTTAACCACCTTTGTATCCCACAGATAAATCCTTTTTGATCATGGTGTATAATTATTTATAGTAGTGGATCATAAGGGATCATAAGGGACTTCTGTGGTATCCGTTGTAACATCTCTTTCATTGTTTATTTATTTGAGCCCTCTTTCTTTTTTCCTTGTTGAGTCAAACTAAAGTTTATCAATTTTTCTTATTTTTTCCGAGAACTAACTCTTAGTTTTAGTGATTTTTTTCTAGTCTTTTAAGTCTCTGTTTCATTTATTTATGCTCTGATGCTTGTTATTTCCCTCTTTGTACCAGCTTTCAGTTTTGTTTGTTCTGTTCCTAGTTCCTTGAAGTGTATAATTAAGTTATTTGAGGTCTTCCTATTTCTTGAGGTATCTATCACTATAAGCTTTACTTCTAATACGACTTTTCCTGCATCCCATAAAGTTTAGTATGTGTGTTTTCATTTTTATTCTTATCAAGGTATTTTCTAGTTTATTTTGTTTATTGATTTCGTTGTTGATCCATGCTGTTCCAGAATGTTTCAATTTTTCAAACTGTGAATTTTCTGCTTTTCTTTCTGTTTTTGATGTCTAGTTTCATTACATTATAATTACAAAATATACGTTGGTGTAATTTAATATTTTTGCATTTGTCAAGATTTGTTTTGTGACCAAATATGTGATCTATTCTGGAGAAATATCTGTGGGTACTTGAGAATAATTTGTATCCTGCTGCCATTGGGTAGAATATTCTGTATATGTCTCTTAGATAGATTTAGTCTTTAGTGCTATCCAAATCCTTTATTTCCTTTTTGATATGTAACCCGGAGGTTCTATTGTGTATTGAAAGTGGGGTATTGAAATTTCCTACTTTACTATAATGCTATCAATTTCTCCCTTCAGTTCTGTGAATGTTTACAGAGTTAGATGTGCTGGTGTTGGATGCATATATATGTATATATGTATGCATCTCTTCTTTCAGTTTTGACTTAGACTCTCTTCTGTCAGATATAAGTATATTCATTCCTACTCTCTTTTGGTGACTGTTTATATGCAGAATCTTTTTCCGATATTTACTTTTAGTTGTGTTTTTTTTTAATTTAAAGTGAGTTTTTTCTACACAGCTTATAGTGAGCCTTATTTTTAAAATCCATTCAGTTACTTCGTGTCTTCCAATGGAGAGTTTAACTTTAAATTATTATCAATAAGGAACAATTTGATATTGATATTTTGTTACTTTCCTATTAATCTTCTGTGTTTTGTTGATTTTCTGTGTGCATATTGATATTCTTGGTTTCTTTCTCTTTTTCTTTTGTGTAATTGCTATAGTTTGTGTTTGTGTGTCTATGTGTGTGGTTACCTTGGGGCTTACATAACATATCTTATAGTTAAGGTAGTCTGTGTTAAACTGGTAACAAGTTAAGCCCAATAACGTACCAAAATTCTATACTTCATCTTTTCTTCAGCTCATATTTTATGTTATTGTCACAATTTACATCTATTCTTACTGTGCATATTTTGACATGTTTTATAGTTATAGTTATTTTGCATGCTTTTATCTTTTTTACTAGAATTAAAAGTGATTAACCCACCATAGAATCGTACCATATCTGTATATATGTGTATGTGAATATATGTATATATATTTATATATGAATATACATGTATATAATCTATTTCATGTTTTTCATGCTTTCATGTTACTATTTAGCATTCTTTTATTTCAACACGAAAAACCCATTTTAGCATTTCTCATAAGGGGGTTCTTCTTTTTGTCTGGATATAAATATCTCCTTTATTTTAAAAGACAATTTTGCCAAATATAGTATTCTTGATAGTTTTTTTTTTTCTTTAAATGTTTTGACTACATCATTTCACTGCCTCCAAACCTGCAAAATTTCAGTTCAAACTCTCACTCATAGTTTTAATGGTGATTCTTCTTGTATATGACATATTGCTCTCACCACTTTCAAATATTTTTGTCTTTGACCTTTTACAATTTGATTATGGTGAGTCTTGGCATGGATTTCTTTGGTTCCTTTTACTTGAGACATTTGGGGCTTTGTGTATCTGAATGCCCATTTCATTCCTTAGATATTGGATATTTTCAGTCATTATTTCTTTGAAGGAGTTTACTGGACCTCACTCTTCTCATTCTGGGACTCCCATCATGTGGATCTTGATCTTCTTGTTGATGTTCTATAAGTCCTTTGTTTTCCTCATTCTTTTCCAGTCTTTTTCTCTCTTTTGACTGAATAATTAACAGTGATCTATCTGACTAGGAGTCCAGTGATCCCTTTTATCTGCTTGATCTAGTCTGATGCCTTTTCTGGACCACCTCGTGTCATTGGTCCATGCTCAGATCTGGAGGCAGGAAGAGCAGAAGCCAGCAGACTTCTGTTTCTTTATGTCACTTGGTAGAAAGGGAGATATCAGGCTTTATGACAGAGCCTTCTATTTTCTGCCCTAGTTGTTGAGTTGAAACTGGGTCAGATTGTTTGGATTTTTCTGCTGCCTCTGAAGGCAGGTAAGTTAACTAATTATCTGGTTATTGATGAGGATTAGGCTTGCCTACCAAGGCTATTATATTGCCAAAATAGGCGGATTAAACAGTCCATCAGTGCAGTGACTATGGACTATGTTTGAGATTAGCCTATAAGTCTTTGAAGTTGCCACTCTGAATCACACGTGTGTGTGTCTTGGCTCAAGAGCAAGTGCTAGAACACCTTACTATTTTTTTTATTATGCTTTTTTCATTCTCTGTCATTTATCCAGAAAGAGAAAACTATTCTTGAGTTTTTTGTCTGTGCTGGTGGTTCTGTGTTAAAGGCCTCTCCAGCACCCAATTTGGAAGATATACATGAGAAATTAAAAGAAAACTCAGTGAATTTACCTGGTTATCATTCCTCAAGTCTAGAAGTTTCTAGGCAGTCTGCCTTTTTATTTTTAGCTTTCAGAGGTTGTTTTATTTTTTTCACTGAATTATTTTCAGAGTATTTAGTTGTATTTAGAGGGAACAAACAGGGAAAATGAGTTTATGTGACCTCATTCCAGAAACTAAATTGGCCATAATTTTTGAATAATGTTTTGCATTAAAAATGTAATAAAGTATAAACACCTTTGAGTAACACTCCAAGGAATAAAAAAAGTCAAGTCAACCATTTTTGATATAGAAAGAGTTAAGATAGACATTATAGGAGATACTAACATTTGTGAAAGACACAAATAATGTTCTAGTATTTCCAGAAAAGCTTAGTAAAAAGAACAATGTAGGGAAGAAAAGGAAATGAAAATAAACATTTTTTTTTGTTCTGGGGAAGTATATGGTAAGTATCATAAGAGAGATTAAAAAATAACATAAGACTGATTTTTAAAAAAATATGTATCTTAGGTAATAAGTAATTTATCATTTAAGTTAAAAAAAGAGGTACTATTATTTATGCCAATTTAGCATGTATAAACTGAAACATTCTCAGCAATATATGATCACCTTATCCTTAAGACTTTTTGTTTTATGTTTTTTTTTAAAAAAAGACCCTTTTATTTTAACTACTTATTTTGGAAATGTTTATGCATATGCATATTTATAAAATAATACAGTAAATCCTTATTTTCTCATCATCTAGGTTTACTAACTATAAATCTATGGCCAGTTTTCATTCTTCTGTATACCCTTATCCCCCTTCTGCTCTTTCAATACTTAAGAACAAATTCTAGGTAGTTTCCTGAGTCATTCCTTGGTCAAAACACTAATATCTTTATTGTATGACTTTCTCTTTTTCTCCACCAGGCATAACCACGTTCAGCCATATGTTGCTTTTTGTTTTACTTATAGGGCTGATACTCTAATGGTTCAACTCTGCCAGAAGATAGATCCTTAACAATTAGCCCTGCACACTGACCAGCACAGGATAAGAAGCCAGAGCATCTATGACCTCAAGTTTTGCCTGCCTTCTTCTCTGGACCAATATTTCCATAATGGTGGTTTCATAATGACTCTGACTAAAGCTCTGCTGTACATGAGGATCATACCCCTGCTACCCTGGCTTGGGGTGCTTCTGTCCTTTTGTGAATACACCCAGGCTGAAGACCCCCAATATCAGAGTACCCCAGAAGTAGTGATTCCTTTGAAGATACCTGACACCAGCAGAGGCATGAAGCCTTCTGGCTGGCTCTCTTACAGCCTGCGTTTTGGGGGCAAGAGACACATTGTCCACATGAAGGCCAAAAAGTATTTGCTGTCTAGACACCTCCCAGTGTTCACCTACACAGACCAAGGTGCTCTCCTCGAGGACCAACCCTTTGTTCCAAAGGACTGCTACTACCACGGTTATGTGGAGGGGGACCCAGAATCCCTGGTTTCTCTCAGTTCCTGTTCTGGTGGCTTTCAAGGATTGTTACAGATAAATGACTTTGCTTATGAAATTAAGCCCATGACTTTTTCTACTAAATTTGAACATCTGGTATATAAAATGGATAGTGAGAAGACTCAAATTTCAGGCATGAACTCTGATTTTATGCAAGAGGAAACTGTATCCCAACTGGAGTCTCAAAAGATTAATAATTCTACTCAGAAGCAAAGTGCTTATTCCAGCTGGTGGGTCCATATGTATATTATGGAATTAGCAGTGGTGGTGGACCACAGTCTATATGTTCATATAAAAAAGAATATTTCAAAGTTTAATGAGGACCTATATGCTATGGTAAATATAGTGGATTCCATTTATGATGGAATGGGTCTTAAACTGTCATTGTTTGGTTTGGAGTTCTGGACTGAAAGAAACTATATTCAAGTAAATGATGTACATAGATCTCTGAGATATTTCTGCGTTTGGAAAAATAGAAACTTTGGTTTGCGCCTGCAACATGATACTGTACATCTTTTTATAAATCAAACAGTACGAGGAATGAGTGGTTTAGGTTATCGTAATGGAATGTGTCAGCCATTGCAAAGTTGTGCAATTATTACTACTACAAATAAAACCTTGAACAAGATTGCAATTGCAATAGCTCATCATCTTGGCCATAATCTGGGTATGACTCATGATGATGCCTTTTGTAAGTGTGGACATCCTAAATGTATAATGCATGTTTCAAACCCACCAGTAACTGCATTTAGCAATTGTAGTTATTCTTATTTTTGGTCATATAGTTTACAGTTCGCACAATGTTTGTTCTACAAGACACATCCAAAGGACATATTTTCAAAGAAGCGTTGTGGGGATGGTATTGTTGAAGAAGATGAGGAGTGTGACTGTGGATCTTTACAGAGTTGTTCAACAGATGCCTGCTGTCTGACAAACTGCACTCTGGCTTATGGGTCTATTTGTGCTTTTGGGCTTTGTTGCAAAGACTGCCAGTTATTACCACCAGGAATAATGTGTAGAAAAGAGGTCAATGAATGTGATCTTCCAGAGTGGTGCGATGGAAGATCCCCATTTTGCCCAAAGGATGTATATGTGGAGGATGGAATTCCCTGTAATGAAAGTGCCTATTGCTATGAAAAGAAATGTAACAACCGCAATGATCAGTGTAAGCAGATTTTTGGCAAAGATGCAATAAGTGCAAGTCCTAGTTGCTACAATAGCATGAACACTCGTGGTGACCGTTTTGGGAACTGCGGCATCCTCAAGTCTACATATATAAAATGTAATGTCTCAGACAGCCAATGTGGGAGAATTCAGTGTAAGAATGTGACCCAAATGCCCCTTTTGAGAGACCATTCCACCGTGATTCATACTCACTTCAATAATGTCATCTGCTGGGGTATCGACTACCACTTGGGGATGACCATACCTGATCTTGGAGAAGTGAAAGATGGCACAGAGTGTGGCCCAGAACATATCTGCATGAACAGGAAGTGTGTCCATTTATCTCGCTTGGATAGTAATTGTACGCCTAAATTCTGTAACATGAGGGGCATTTGCAACAATAAACATCACTGCCATTGCAACTCTGTCTGGGACCCACCCAACTGCCTCATTAGGGGCAATGGAGGTAGTATTGATAGTGGCCCACCCCCTAAGAGAGAAAAGATAAAGAAGAAGTACTTGTTAATAGCCTCACTTTTTTGGTTGCTTCTTTTATTATGTTGTCTTCTTTGTCTTTGTATGAGGAGAAAGAAAAAAGAAGTTCCCGCTCAACCTGATAAACAACCGCAAATGGTTCCACCTCCACCTGCAAAGCCACAGAAAAAAGTCCCACCTCCACCCGCAAAGGCACAGAAAAAGATTCCACCTCCACCTGCAAAACCCCCGCAAAAGGCTCCTACTCAGCCTGCCAAGCCACCGCAACAGGCTCCGACTCAGCCTGCAAAGCCACAGCAAAAGCCTTCAGCTCAGTTTTCAAAATCACAGCAACAGCTTTCAGCTCAGTCTTCAAAATCACAGCAAAAGCTTTCAGCTCAGTCTTCAAAATCACAGCAAAAGCTTTCAGCTCAGTCTTCAAAATCACAGCAAAAGCTTTCAGCTCAGCCTTCAAAATCACAGCAAACTCTTAAGAGTCAATCTAGCGTAACAGTTGGCCCAAGTGGGAAACAAAGGCCATCAGTCACAAAGAATGTACCCAAATAAATGTGCATTAAAAAAGGCAATCCCTAAAATATTTATACTTACTCTTCATTATTTTAAACAATTAGAAGATTTGTTTTTCCTAAAATTTGTCTATATTTTCTGGGGAAAGGCATGGCATGTGGATTGTGTATGTGTTTTTAAGTTACTGCTTCTCAGCTTCAAATCCCCTTCCCATTTTGTACACTGCATTACAGGGATCGCATTTCTGCTCTACCAGCCTTCTTCCTATAGGGATCTGCAACAGGGTGAATGAGTGAGAGTTTGGAAGTCTGAGACATCTATTTACTTTTTGATGTCAATATCACCTCAACATGTTTTACATTGGCAGCTTTACGTAGTATATGTATATACTATTATATATATAATACTTATTTGTTTACATTATAGCTATAATTATTATTATTATTAAATTTATTCCAGACCAACTTCATTGTCAGACTGAGAGAGAGCAGCATAACTGTCTGGTGCGCTGTCACCAGAGTTCTGAGTCTCAGATTTTTTAGCTTTCTACCAATATTGCAAATCTTCTTCATCAGCTTAGAAGAACCTACTGTCAGAGTTCTGAGTGTCACATCTATGCAGTCTTTTTGATTTAAGTAACCCCCAAGCTTTTCCCTTTGCTCCTCAACTCCTTGAATGAAATTACTCTCTTACAGTTAGTATTTAATGGTTACTCACCAGTTAGCAGCATAATATCTCCCTTAACTTGTTCTGTTCTTCCATATATGTTTTTACCCAATTCTTATACTTAATTCTATCCCTCTAAAATCACTGATGTGGTTTTACTTTTTCTGAATGAATCCTGACTGTTACAGTACTAGTCCTGGCATAACGTGGAAACTGAAAGTGAGGAGGTGTCAGAAGTTTTTGTTTGATATATCTTTACTACTGACCTTGATCATCTTGAGTAAAGTACTTAAATTTATTGCAATTTTCCAACCAAAAGAAGAAAGGATAGGATAATAATATCAGTTGTCTCTCATTTTGGAGGATTCTTTGGTTATAAAATGAGATAAAGAAAATGCTTTTGATTCTAGGTAAGTCTAGGAAGATAAAGTCATTTTTCCCCTCAGAAAACAATAAAAACAATTGTATAATACCGAACACATTTTATTTAATTATATCTTTAAAGTATCAGAGAACTGTGAAGGAAATGGAGATTAAAAGACTTAAAAACTACAAAGAAAGGAAAACATTGAGAAATGTCAACACTTTTTTCCCTGAGACAAAACTGATTGTTCCCTGTAGTGTGATGATTCTGAATTCAAAGGGAAGATCCACTTGGCCCTTCCAGTTAGTAGGCCTCTTTTGAAGAAAGAGAAACTGAAACTGTAAAAGAGACTAGGTTGATAGATTGGACACTTAATAGGCATCAAATTCAAAATCATTTTTCTCTACGCCACATTAGCTGAATTTAAGTCCTCTGTGGGAGGCTGGGGAGAAGGTTGAAGCTTTTAAAGGAAGAAATATCTGTAATCTGTTTTACTCTGGAGGCAAAGACCTAGTGTAAGGGATTTTCCTAAAGGACATGTACTACCTTCCCATTAAAATTTAGCCTGATTTTGAAGGAGATTGGAATATAGGGTAGAGAATTGAGTTTAGAAGATTTGCGTATCAGAACAGAACATAGTTACTGATTGCTTTCATAGCTGAGAAAATAAAAGCATATGGGCTCTCAATAGAAAGTACAGTAAGATATATGTGTCTTGAGTTTCTGACAAAACTCAATTGTTAATTGTTTTGGAATTATCAGTCACCTAACCTATCTTCCAAACAGGAAAAATGAAAAGTTCTCTTCAAAGGAAATTCTACCCTAAACTCCTATGATTCTTTATACATAACATGTAGCAGACTATAAGATTATCACACATATCGAGGAAGAAATTATGACCAATAATAAAGAGAAAATAACAAACACAGTAAAAGAGAAGCCAGAAGTCATCTAAAATATGATCAAGAGTGGAAAAGATAATAAAAAAAATTCACCATGATTACTATTTTAGAGAAACTGAAAGAAAAACAAATGAACTATGTGAAAGAGGAAAGATTCTCTTTACCAGAAAATTAGAATCTATTCAGTTATCAAATATATCATTCTAGAGCTGAAAAAATAAAATATCTAAATTTAGGAAATTAGTAAACACTTTGAAATATATATTGCATTGTTCAATTAACTATTAACTAGAACAGTCAGTGAAAAAAATTACATAGCAAAAAATATTAAAGATTAAGATAAGTGATATATGAAATATATAAAAAAATCATTAGAGTCCTCATCGAAAAGGAGAAAGATAATTGAATAGAAATAATAAAAAAGATTAAGTTAGAGAATTTCCCAGAAGCATGGAAACACACCATCCAAAAAACTCAATGAATTTCAAGCAGTATAAACAAACACACATTTAAGAATATCATTGTATAACTTGAAAACCAGACACTGAGAAGTAAGAGCTGCCAGGTATATAATATCATATCTTAAAAGGAATGACAATGAAAGTTGGCTGTCCTCAACAAAATGATTGAATGCAGAAGATAATGGAATAAGATATATTTTTAAAAAATATTTATTTATTTATTCATGAGAGACAAAGAGAGAGAGAGGCAGAGACATAAGCAGAGGGAAGAAGCAGACTTCCCACAAGGAGCCAGATGTGAGACTCGATCCTGGATCCCGTGAGCTGAAGGCAGACTCTCAACCGCTGAGCCACCCAGGCATCCCATGGAATAAGATATTTACTCAATAAATATAATTGCCAAATTAGAATTCTTTAATTTATGAAAACAATCTTCAAGAATGAAGAAGAACAAAACTTTCCTTTGGTAAATAAATCATTGCCAGCAGTTCACACTCAAAGAAATATGTTTCTTTTTAGTAAGTAAAAACATACCAGGAAGAAGCATGAATATGCAGGTGGGAGTAAAATATATAAAAAACACTAAGTATGTGGATAAAAAGTTAAAATTAATGTACAAAACAATACTACTAGTATCTATGGATTACAAATATGTACAGAACAAAATGCAAACATATTTATCACAAAAGCTGGGAGGCATGCAATAGGCAGTTAACAGGTCTGAGCATATAGCAGTACTGGGAAGAGGTAAATCAATGATATGGATTGTGATACATGATGTTGAGAATGCATGCCACAATCTTTAAGGTAACCATGAAAATGATAAGATTATATAAATATAAGAAACTGAAGAAAAAGTGCATAATAAGTGGTATTTGATGACTATAGAAGGAAACAAGTGAGGGAAACAAATATAATGTAGGTATTTGAAAATAGAGAAAAAACTGTGGAATATTTTGCAATGATAAAAGGCAAATAATCAAGAGCTAGAACACCCTAAATGTGTAAGCATCCACTAATATAACTTCAAATATATAAGGAAAATCATGGAAATAGACAAATCCACAATCACCAAGAGGGATAATTCTAATCAATTCTCTTTATGGTGATAGATAAAGTAGAAAAATAAATCTGCAGGATAAGATTTTCAGTACATATTTAAAAACTAGATGTATTATATATATATAAAGAAACACATATATACACATATATATGTGTATATATACACATATATATAATCTATGTGTCAACTCAAAAGTGGCTAAATTAACTTTAATTCATCTGCATATAGATTCTTACCAAAGGCCACCTTATGGTGGGCCAGAAAAATGCATCAACAAATTTCATACTGCTTTAATCAAGAAGAGTGGTTTCTCTAAAGCTTACATATTTAATCTAGAAGTCAACCTCATTAGAGATAACTAAAAAAACTGCAGTTGCCTGATACAATCCTGACACTGGTCTCACTTTTGATTACCAACTAAAATTTTGCACCCAATTCTAATGTACAGTGATAGTACCCAACACCATCAAGCAATTCTCTTATGCTAGCAGGGTAATCTACAATTCAATTCAGTTCTAACCCTGTCTACTGGGAAATAGCACCAGATCACATAGGGTAGGGCTCAGGCCTATAAGATTGCTGTTGTTTTTTTTTTTTAAGTTCAACTTTTTTATTATCTTTTTAGTTCACTTCATACAATAATTTATATCTGTGAAAGAAAAATTTATTGAATGAAAGGCACTGCTTATGATTTACAAAGCAATGAAATAACTTTAAGAGGTAGCATTTAGTGAATTAAATAATACAAGGTTTTTTGGATCTGTAATTGATATACATTTGATTAAAAAACAAACAAACGGTTTGTATTAGGTCATCACATATATTTATTTATACAATAATAAAATCCATAAAACATAAGTAAGGTTTTATGGGACCCCAACAGAGGTATCTTTTCCTTAATCTTAAGAAAACCAAACAGTTTTAGAAGCTAAAGCTATTACATTTACAGATGTGCAAAACATCAAAACACTTTAAGCAAAAACTATTTTTAAGAAAAAAGTATGTTTTCTCATTTTCTATTCTTGGCATAAATGTTAATTCTTTCCAGTAGAAACAAAACCTCCTGAACCCCTTTCAGTGTCATCTAAAACCTGAACTTCCTCTATTTCTGGATAAAAAATCCGTTCACAAATGAGCTGTGCAATCCGATCGCCCTTTTTGACTTCAAATTTTTTTTGCCAAAATTAAATCGCACAACACCCACATTTCTGTATTATCTGTACTTCTGACAGACCAGCTATAGTTTGGAGGTTCTAATGAGCCCTTCCTTGGGGTTGATTAATTTGCTAGACTAGTTTACAGAACTCAAGAAACATTTTACTTACTAGGTTATGGTTTTATTGTAAAAGGATATAGAGCAGGAGCAGCTACATGGAAGAGATGCATAGGGCAAGGTAAGTGGAAGGAGAAAAGAGCTTTAATGTTCTTCTCAGGTATGCCCCTCTCCATGCCTCACCATGTATTCAACAACCAGGAAGCTCTCAAACCCCTGACCTGGGATTTTATGGAGGTTTCACAACCTTGGCATAATTAATTAAATTATTGACCATTGGTAATTTAACTCAATCTCCAGCTCCTCTTTC